GGATTATGAATATTAAATAAATTACTAAGACTTAAAAAAAAAAAATTATGGATAATGTTGTTCAGAAAACTGAAAAGGAAAAGGAACTTTTCATCTAGTGTGGGAATGAATTAGAAAAAATTCCCTAAAAATAGATCCCACAACCTACATGATATTACCATCAATAGATATTGTTCTGATATTATTATTCAATATCACATATGTCCCTTATTTCTCCCAGCAGAGAACCAGAAAACCTGTTCTCTGAACTGGATTGACCTGGAATGCTGTACTGGAAGAAACCAGCCTTCCTGAAGAGAGGCAGCTAGGAAAGTCTTGGGAGCAGGGCTGAGGGAGGTCACCTTGCTGGGGCTGCCTTTGCATTACAGAACACTCAGTAAAACAGGTAACCTACAGAACAAGAGGAGCATTGACACATGTTTGGGGGCCTTGTGTAGGATGAAGATACAATCAGCTATTAAACATTTACAACTAGCATTAATAAGCCATTAAAAGGATAGGAAACCCTATCTACTCCTTTATACCTATTATCCTGTGAAATCTCAACTGATTTGGGTTGGGAATATGTGCTTGTTAACTTTACATTCACCACAGGCATGACATAGATAGTCCTAATACCAATGGCAATTTGCCCCACAGAGCCCCCAATGTAAAAACAAAGTAGGTTAAAATAGGTTTAGCACCACTATGTCCAGAGTCACACATCACACACAAATCTTGTCAGCTGGAAACACAGACAGAATAAACTCATGACTTTCTGGCAGACACTATGTAGACATTCTAGACATCCTGTTTTTCCCAACCTCCCTTTCCCCTTGATAAGCAATGTATTATCTCATTGGAAAGGTAAGGCATACTGATACACATATCCTCAATACCCATGTGGGTGAAGAGGTGAAGTTTCACACATCCTCCTGAAAAGTGTGCTGTTGAGCATTTGGAGACTAAATAAGATCTCCAGTATCCTTCTTGGTTTTGAAAAGTACTATTTTCTCTACATATTTCAAAACCCAGTGATCTAAATCCATAGAGGCATGTAGTGCTTGCACAGAATGAGAGATGCTTGGCTCTTACACACAGGACAACTCATATAATCAAAATCATCCTTTGCATACATACCAAGCTTTGGTATTCTTCTGAGAATTTCATGTTATAATACATTTGACCTCAGTAAGTACTAAATATCTGCCTGAGTATCACTTGCCACATTCTGAGCAAATCTCCACAACAGCCTCCCTGCACTGTTTGGTAGCAAGAAGGGACCCAGATGAGCTGACAGCCTTAGAGTGTTTGCTGCTACCATAGAAACCTCTGGACAGTCATTTACAGTGCCACTAAAATTATTTCATAATGCTAACAGAGTCATGAATTTGATATGAAATTGCATTTAAATTAAAATAATTGTCTTTCAGTTCAGCTCTTATGTAAGAAGTACCTGAGCCTCTTGATTCAATCACCTCACTGTCAGATTGCCTAGAGCTCATGATCAAACTGCTCTAATTCCCTTTTTTAAAGGTCATGTAAACATGTGCACTTTGTGAATTAGATGCAAATTCAATTCCCTATTCAAAAGCTTCCTAGTTAAGTTCCTTACCCATCCCTCAAATGCAAGCCAGCATCTGACAATAGAATATTGACTTTTGAACTGTGTTCAAATACATTATTAAACAAAGAAACAACTGCCCCCTTCTTCGTAGAGAATACAGATAAAGGGAAGTGAAGCTCCATTTTTTCTAAATGGTCCTAATTATGTAGGTCAACTAACTCACTTTTTAATACGGCTGTTCCATGATTTTACTTGGGGGTTTTTCATACTGTGTTTTTATAGGGGTGGTATCTGCTGAAGAACAATATGTAGATATCGAGGTACCCATGGATGGGTGTTATTGAAGATGTTACTGTAATTAAGGACTGCATGAGTGTCCTTTCTAACAAGGTGTGCTAAAACAAAAACAACAAAAAAAAAATGAAATAATGAATGCCAGTTTTAAGCCATCTCCATCAAAGACTGAATGAAACACACTGAACAGTTCACCATTTCAATAATAATAACAGAGCAAGTATTTTTGATCCTGGCATTTTGGTTCACCTGTGAATAATAGTTTCAGTGATGTTTTTCATAATTCTGAAAATAAAGTTATTACATTTATGGTCTTGTTAGATCTTTCTTTATAAGTAGGGACTTATCTGTGTACAGTTATTCTGACCCTTATTACCTTAGTTCACCCAATAGGTCTGTGCAGAACACTACCTTATCTCTGACTGGGGCTGATGATGGAAAAAAAAATCAGCAGAGTGTCAGCTTTCCCCAGACATCCACTTGTAGTGTCCTGGAAATATCTAGTCTGAAATATTCCTGAACTCACTGGTTAGAACTTTTCTGCTGTGCCAGACCTGAAATCTGAGGATGGCAAGACCCAGAAGGTCATCAGGTTTGTGTAACAGTTAGATTTTGCAGCCAATGAAATCTCAACTTCTGGTTTGCCTCTATTTCAACCTCTAGGTTGGAGATTTTCAAAGACCAGGAGAACAAAAACATCTTTCAAGAATGCGAAAATCTGAGATGAAAACACACACACAAACAAACAAACTAACTACAAAGGAACAAGTCACCCACATCTGTTGTCATGCTTGGTAAACCACAAGATACAAGAAAAGCTGTGGGATTGTCTAGGGCAGACAGTTATTCAGGGTACTTTGATGCTTACCACAGGCAGTGCTTTTTCCAGGTGCATCACCCTACAGTCAAACCCTGTTGTGGGAAGATCCACAGTTCTTGTTAGGCCTCAGGACTTCTCGAGCTGCATGAAGTTACAGCACTGTTAGAAAGGAAAAGAGAAGTTTCTTGGTATAGTGTGCTTTGCTGAGTGCCATGACAGGTTGTAACAATGAGGAAAAAGTAGACAGCAAAACATTTCTAGGGGGCTGATAGAGAACCAGCATACATGTAAATTCATCATTCTTATCAATAAACCACTCCCTGCATACTCCCTGGTGTGCTTACCAAGGATAAGGCATACAGCTACTTCATGGGCTCACTGTGAGATGAACCAGCACTCCCACCCTTAGGTCAGAGCAAGAGCTGAGTTTTAGCCACTCATCTGCCTTGAGGTTCCACTGTGGTCTTGATACCTACTTTTCTTCCTTTCAGAAATAAATGAATGGCAATATTGGCCAGCAGATTTCTTAAAAAAAAAAACAAAACTAAATAGTAACTGAAATAAAAGATTATAGGGAATTAAGCCTAACAATTAGTACATCTGAATAGTTCATATCTTATGCTAAAATCAAATATTTCAAACCTTGTTCTTACTTGAAAAGTTAAAAAAAACTAGTCTCCAAAAGTCTCTGGACCCCTAGATTTAATTTTCTTTACCAAGTCTTGGGAAAAAAAGGATAATCCAAGGAATTGCTGACTTGCCAAAGCAATCATAGCATTTAAAGCAAATGGCCCAGGAAATGATATATCAGTTATTCTGATTCTAATCTTAGAAAAAAAAAAAATAGAAAGCTGGACAAAGACAGCACTCTACCAACAGGGAATTATGAGCTAAAAATAAAGCTATATCATTCAATGTAGTTTCAGAGAAAGTAGTTCTTGTCAAATTATCTTATTTGGATTTTTCTTTTATAAGATTATAGGTCTGGTTGACAAAGGGAGCTGTGTTGCTACAGTCTAATCAAATTTCATTGAGGCATTTGACATACTACACATGACATTGTGTTTTAAAATCTTGCATTATATGTAATTAATAGAGCACAGATTAAATGATTTAAAAGCCACTTGACTGATAGCACTCAAAATGTATGCATTAACGGAAAGGAATTAATTATCTGGGTCATTACTAATAAGACACTGCAGGGCTCTTAGTCCTATACCATTTTAACCTTTATTTGAAAATAATATGAATTCTGGATGCAGTATGAAGGGGAAAAAACAGTAATGCCATGAAAAGCAATCAGAAGTCAGCTGTTAGAGTGTGCTGAATCTCCTGGATAGGTGGAATTAATGTAGTGAATTCAAGTAGATGTGTGAACAAGCTGAAGTGCTGTGAAGGAAGCAAAAGTGTGTTGTAGAGTGGAGTTGCCAGCCCATGCCCCCAGGAAAAAGAATCTGTGCATCTTTGGAAGAATGAAAAACTCATTCAAAATGGATGCAGAGGAGAAACCCAAACTTTGACATTAGGCAAAGTTTTAACAGGGAGCCAAAGTGGTGCCAGAGTAAGCCCTGGAGAAGTGAGTGGAGAGGAATAGAGTTGAGGAGATTATTTGTATCCTATAGGATATTGTATAGGGATTTTTATCCTATAGGATATCCTACAGGGAGATTTGAGAGGCTAGAGCAGCTGTGGGGAGAGGCAGTTAGAGAGGGGGTAGTGAGACTGGGAGGTGGGCACTCCTGAAATGTGGCTCCTGGTGTTGGCCCCATGCTTTTCATAACCTCAAGCCCATTTCCCATCCTGCAAGTGTCTGACCATGGCTACTCACATACAGCATCTTTCCCATAGCCACACTCAGCTCCTCACCCTGCAGCAGCTGGAACAGACTAGAGGGCTGGCAGCCACCACTGGGCCATCAGCTTTCCCCTTTCTAAGGACCCCCTAGGGGAAATAAATAATATGGGCCCTGTGGCTAGAGATTAAATGGTACTAGTGGTTGTTTCTGGCTTTAGAATCTGTGAATCACCCCTTGCTGCCTGGGTGGGTTTTCCTCCTTGGTCAAAGGTCTACCAGGAAAAAAAGCAGAGCTGATTTCTAATCTCTTAGCACAAATCAAATGGCCTTGTAGGTCTGATAATCTGAGTCTGGTTAATTTTGTGTTTCTTTGCTTGTAGAAATGTCATTTGGTGTTTCCCAGAGAAAAAGGACTGGAATCAGTAAAATTATATAGGAACATGTAGCAAATGTGCATTCCACGTGTCCTTTTTTTTTCTAGCTATTTATAATGGCCAGTGTCTTTGTGCTTAAACTCTCTACAACATTGAAAGTAATGATAATATTGTATATTTCACTTTGGTAGTACATACACAAAAATTGGAATAATACAGAGGTCAGCATGGCTCCTTGGCAAGGATGACATGCAGATTCATGAAGAGTGACTAAATTTTTTTGAGCCAACAATATGCCCAGCAGGACTGGAAAGTGATTCTTCCTCTCTACTGGGCAGTGGTGAGGCCACACCTTGAGTCCTGTGTCCAGTTTTGGGCCACTCACTGCAAGAAGAACATTGAGATGCTGGAACAAGACCAGGAAGGGCAACAGAGCTGGTGAAGCACCTGCAGCACAAGTCCAATGAGGAGCAGCTGAGGGAGCTGGGGGTCTTTGTCCTGGAGAAAAGGAGACTCTTTTCTCTCTCTACAACTCCCTGAAAGGAGGCTGTAGCCAGGTGGGGGCTGGTCTTTTCTCCCAGGCAGCCACTGACAGCTCAAGAGGACATGGCCTCAAGCTGCACTAGGGAAGGTTCAGGCTGGACATCACAAAGAACATCTTCACTGACAGGGCTTGCCAAGGGAGGTGGTGGTGTCACCATCCCTGGAAGTGCTCAAGAAAAGGATTGATGTGGCACTTAGTGCTGTGGTGTAACTAACAAGGCGGTGACTGGTCAAAGGTGGGACTTGAAGAACCTGGATGTCTTTTCCAACCTTAATGATTCTATGATTTTATGATCTACTTAGTTTAGGACTCTATATATCAGGAAGAATTCTATGTTAGTATATTATTTTTAAACATTAAAGTATTTTTTCAACAGCTAATATTGAAAAAAACCACCCCAAAAGCCTTTATGGAGTTTCATTTAGTGCACAGACCAATTAGTTAATTGCTCCATGCTAAAGCAAATCCTCAGCACTTTAGTTTTCAAAATCTGAACTTCTACATAGTTTTATTAATAACCAGTACCTTTATAATGGGCCAAATTAAGCCAAAATCCTTTGTGCAAGGGGGCATAATGTTTGGATTTGAAAAATCCATGTGAGACTTTAATTTGTTGGTTAGAACCCAATACTAATTAAAATTAGACAAAATCCAACAGACCTTTGATAATCACATCAAAAGTTCGCATTCATTTGATGTGGATTGTCTATATTTCATTGTTGCTCTCTTAAAAGATTATTTATGTACAAAGAGTTAGAAAAGAATATTAATATTTAAAAAGTGGAACTATAAGGGCAAACACCAATTCAGCATATGATTTAATTTAATAAATGTTTGCTTTATTCTGCTCAAAACCATGACTTGTGACATTATTTTTTGCATTAAGAGTGATCTACAAAGATTCTTAGTAAAATATATTTCTAGTGGAACAAGAAGTTTTGCTTGTTTCGCTTGGGGACTGGATTCAACAGCATTTGCTTAACAAGCTGGGCATTAAGGAACCACATCAGTCATATTTTCATTCCAAATTTGCCACTGGTTTACTGAGCAAAGTTCCTCAGAGGAAAAAATCTGATTTCATAAAAGATCACACACACCAGTCCTAACAGTCTAAGATGCTGTACTGAAAGTTGTCTGGAAATTTGGAATATTTTATGCAACTAAGAGCAAAGTACTTTCTTCACAGCTGAGTACATGGAAGGCACAGCAGCATTATAAAAGAGAGAGATTACCAAAGATGTCTAGACATGGAGAAAGTATGAACTTAGTTAGAACGCTCTTGTATTTACTTTTCCTTTCTAGAGAGAGATATACAGTACTTCATGATTTCAGTATGCAAGGCAGCAAGGCTTCTGAGCAGTTCAGCAAAAATCCTCTGTTGACGAGAGGCTAGGAAAAATAAAAATGAAAGGATGTGAATAAAAACCATGTCTGAGAGTCAAATAGGAAGCAGAGTGCCACTACTTTTTATTCCATCATGCAGAGAGTGTTTATTGCATTTTAAAGGTATCTAGATTAAAAAAAACAAACCTCAACAAAACCAACCCCAAACCACTCCAATATTATAAAGTTACAATTATTTAGGAAGCATTTAAATGGTACCTGGCTGTGTAGCCTTACTGCAGATTCAGAGAACACAGCAGAGAAACTTTGTCTCATCCATTCTTATTTCTCTACTCTGCTCGCATGAGACCCCATCTGGAGTACCTCCAGATCTGGGCCCCCACAAAGGAAGGACATGGACCTGCTGGAGCACGTCCAGAGGAGGCCACAAAGGCAATCACAGGGTTGGAGCACATCCTATGGTGCCAGGTTGTGCGATTTGAGGTTGCTCAGCCTGTAGAAGAGAGGGCTCTAGGGAGACCTTGCAGCAGATTTCCAGTACCTAAGGGGGCTATAGGAGGTCTGGAGAGGGACTTTTGACAAGGACATGTAGTGACAAGGGTGAATGGATGGCTTTAAACATAAAGGGCATAGGTTTAGATTGGACATAAGGAAGAAATCTGCAAGGGTGGTGAGACATGGGAACAAGTTACCCAGAGAAACTATGAATGTCCCATCCTTGGAAGTGTTCAAGCCCCAGGACAGGGCTCTGGGCATGCCAGCCTAGTGAAATGTGTCCCTGCCCATGGTTGGAAGACTGTAACTAAATGATCCCTAAAGCCCCTTCCAACACAAACCATTCTGTGATTCTATTATATATAAGCAACAATGGATTTTTTACATAATGTTGGGTTCAGGGTCCCAGGTTTTTTTTCTGACATATTTGAGTCTCTTACTATATTCAGTTATTTTATTTATTTTTAATTGTACTCCTTTAAATATTATTCCACATAAGTGAAGTAGCATATTATTTTTGCTCTTCTTATTTGAAGACTGATGATAGCATTGAGAGATGTTTATTGAAATACACATTGACACCTTGTTTTTGCATAATAAATTATCATTAAAGATTCTTAGTTTAATTAAGTAATACATTTAGTTTGCTGGCTGATCATTTATCATCTGTAATAACTCAGTTCAACGTATGGCTCCCATCAGTTCTGCTTGTGGCTATGTATGTTGAGCCCACACACAAAAAGAATAACCCAGGAGTATCCTGTGAGTCAGATAGTAAGAAATGCAAAACTGCTGACTGACTATCCTTGCAAAATATGATGTATGCAACTAAGCAATACAAAAAAGCTCTGTGCATTTTCCACATTGCAAACTCTTGTCCACCCAAACTAACCCAGCTGCAAGAACCAGTCCAGCTGTAGGAGCTTCAGGTAGCTCTGAGCTTAACTTCAAAGAATGAATTCCCTCGTGTTGCTGCAGAATTGTTCCTGGTGCCTGAACTGCTCAGTTATCTCTACAGTATACACTTACCCACAGCAAACATACCCACAGTGTCAAAGACTGCAGTAGAACCTGTCTTGATTTTACTTGGGCAACCATAGTTTTGTTTTTAATCCCGCAGTGTTTTTGTTTTGATCACACACCTTGAACTTCTGCAACGATAGGGGAAGAGGTCTATAAAACATTGTTTACAACACAGCTCCATTCAATATACCATCCTGACTGAGTCCTAGGCTCAGGCCTTGTTATGAGTGAGGTAAGAACACCAGTGGGGGAAAAAATATTGAATGTATACAGGTAATTAGAGCCTGCATCATTGCTTACACAAAGGGCTGGTGGAGGTAGGAATGCAGGCTAATGTTCTTTTAATGTGTTACCTTCAAATGTAGTGCCTTGGAGGGTTATGTGTGTCTATATAAATAAAGCAAAAGCCAGAAATGCCAAAGTATAAATGGACAATAGTGAACTCCTTAAGAAGGCAAAAGGCAGTCAGTATAGTTTTTTTTTCACGATGTGTGATTCCCAGGAGCCACAGAAGATTTCAGCAGGGGAAACCTACCAGAGAAGTCCTCTTGGCTGCAGAGTACAAGATCTTTAAGGAGCTCTCCAGGAGTAGAGAAGGGTTATTAAAAAGAGATTACTTCCAGGCTGTGACAAACTTCTTGGCAAAAGCTGAAGGTGACTCTTCAGATGTTTACAACCAGTTTGATAAGACTTTCAGAAGGATATCATTAAGCACCTCTTCAGCACTGAGGCTAAGCTTTTCTCAAACTGCAGGTTCTTCAGACAGACTTTGAATGTGCCAAAACTTAACAAAGTAGCTGGTAGTTTACACTCTAATAATCAACATAACAATATAACCTGTTAATCATAGTCCCAAAGATGGCTGAAATTTTACAGTAAAAAACTTCATATTCATACCAGACATCTGAAACAAATAACTCTACCTTAAAAGCTACAAAGCTAGGTGAAAGCAAGTACATTGTCATTAGAATGGTTTTGGTCCAACACAGCAAAATAATCTTATTGGAAAGTCAGTTCAGTGGAAGTATTTTTTCTTAGTACAAATGAGCAATTATGATGACAATCTACTCAGGAAAATGTCAGATCTCAGGATAGTTAACTAATCAGTATATGTCTTTGAAAGAAAGAGAAAAAAAATAATTCCCTCTTCTTCAAGTGAGCCATAGATATACAAGTCTGACATTTTCTTTGGGTAAAGTTTTGTGTAGAGGGGTTTGCAGTTATGTTTTTAAATCTAAATTTCATTTCAATGTGTAAAGGAGTATGAAAGGGCAATTTTAAATAATCAGCAAGGTCAGTGCCTAGCCTCCTGAACTGGAAAGTATTTAAAAACTAATTACTGATAATTCTGCTTAAGCAAGTTCATGTAACTCACTTGTTTATTGCTACACAAAAGAGAATTGATGAAAAACATGGGTGGAAAATAGAGTTCTCAATAAAATAAAAATGAGAGAAGGTATTAATTTTCCCTCAAATATGTATATTTATCTTTTATATTAGTGCGATTTCCATTTGTGCATGATAAAAAGATCAACATTAGAATTCTGTGGGTTAATGTTAACATGGCTTCCCTTTTTACATGTACAAATAACTGGGAACAGTTTGCAGAGTATGTTATTTGATAACAAATATACATTTAACTATCAGATTAACAGGTACATTAATGTATGTAGATGTTGACATATCCACATTTGCACCCATAATTACTTGCAGATGTGGACTATGGGCACGAAAATGGCCATATGTTAGATACTACTCTTCAAGTCTACAGCATATTTTTATTCTGGCATGAGATTTTTTAAAAATACTCCGATTCCAGTAAGGTTTGTGCCCCTAACTCAGGAAAGTGTTTTTTTGGTATTTCACCTTGAAA